CTCTGGATGAGGAGAGACCTATTGTTACCTCTTAGATGGCTGCTCCGGAACTTGGAAGACTCTAGGCTGAACTCCCAGTAGTAGGATATAGAACATTGTCTTTCTGAACTGCTATGCTAATTAGCCTGGTGGCCGTCCCCCCATGAGATCAGAAGGGAGCTCCCAGGCCCAGGGACTCCCTCCTGCAGGGTGTTTGCTTATGTCCAAGAAGTTTTCATGACTTTGCCCCCTGAATGCTTCATTTGGCTCATGGGTATATTCACAGCAAAGACGTCCTCTATTAGACCGAACCGTGTTTGCACATGTAGCGCACAGACACTAAACATCTGTGTGTTTGCTCCACTCTCACTCGCACGGCCCTCGGCCTGCCTGTCTGCCCACGCAGAGGCCGGAGATGGCCTGAGATTGTGTGCCCCGCAGTCTTCGCCTCTGTGGCCTTGTACTCCGTCTCTCTGACTCGTCTCCTCCTGCCACTGTTTTGTTGTTGTTTGTGATTGTGTATTAGGTGAAGGTTTCCAGAGCAGATTGTCAGGTTCAGAGTGAACAACTCATTATCGGGAAGAGACATCATCCTCCCGATGTCTTGCCCTCTTTCCTCCATTTGTTTTCTCTTTTTCCATCCTGTATACATTGCCTGCCTTGGCCCCCTAGCCAGGGTCTGCCCTCCCTTCCTCCCCCTTTGGTAGCCATTAAGCAATGTTTCCTCTAGTGGGAAGACCTTCTTGGCTGTTGCAATAACGTCTCCTCCCAGAGTTGTCAAATGCCCTCCAGGTTCCTCCAGAGGGTGAGGTTTCAGAGAGTCCGTGTGGTTGTGACCATTGCATCGTGTTCCTTTGTGTCCGGGAACCACAGCTGGTTTATCCGTTCTTCAGCTGCTGTGCACAGTGCTGCGGTTAGACTTCCTTCCTTCCCACGGTCTATGGCCGGATACTAGCCAATGGTACGATGGGCATTTGGACCGTCTCTTCCTTGTGATTACTGTGGCTAGGGCTGCAGTGGCCACTGCTGTGCTGTGTTTGGTCAGGCACCTGCCCTCCTCTCAGGGGTGTCCTTAGGGGTGAGATGGCCGGGTCCTGTGGTGGTTCTGTGTATGACTGATGCTTTTACAAGAACCTTCTGGCCTCTGGGTAGAGAGCGCAAGAGCTGAAGTGGGTCACTAGTGAGGGGCTCTGTGCATTTGTGCCGATGAGGCATGGATGGTGGTAGAAGGGATCAGATTTAGGATTCATTCAGGAGGTGGGGGCACCAGGACTTGCCCCCTACAGATTGGGCCAGGGCTCAGAGTTCTCTTTTGGACATATTGGGGTTGTGGTAACTTAGATACCCCTTGAGTGGCACAAACAGTCAAGCACTCAGCTACTGATTAAAAGATTAAAAGTTCAGGTGCATCCAGGGGCACCTTGGAAGAAAGTGCTGGCAGTCACAGCTTTGAAAATGTTTGGCCCATAGCCCTGCTCTGACACACCTGGGCTGCCTTAGATGTCCAGGTAGCTATACCAGAGGTGAGGCGCTTGGGAGGCAGGTGCCGGTGGGCAGAGCCCAGGCCTCCCAGCTTTACAGCCAGGCTACTCCCTGGACCAGGAAGCTGGTGGTTCAGTGCAACCCAGAAGCCCGGTAACGGGAGTGGAGAATTGCAACTCTGCCTGTTCCCAGCCTCCAGCCTCGGTCACGGTGCATCATTAGGGACTCTGGCCTGAAAATCCTGTCTGTAAGTTGGGCTCAGATCCCTCTTACTTGTGATGTGGCTGGAACAAGGAGCCCTTAGCTCAAGGTCTGGAGTGAGTTATGAGTGTCATGGGGCCGGCCTCCCACCTACACAGGAGGTGGAAAATGGGTGCCGGGTGCAGCTGCTGGGAGGGCGGGGGAACCTGCTCCAAGTGGCTGTCGAGCCTCTGGCTCTGTGGCTGCGTGGACTAGCACACTTGATCCTGATTTGAGCTATCTACCGGCTGTTCTCTGTGGTCCAAGGAAAGGCTGCTGCCCCTTGTTCTCAGGGCCAGCGTGGCCACCCTGTGTGCTTGTGGCCCACTCTGCTCGCTGCAGCTCTGTGCCTCGCTTTGCCCCCGACCTTACCAGTTGCCTGGACTTTGTAGGGTTTTCAATGGCTGAGGTTTGGGGAGTTTATCACCAGGCCTTTCTTCTGAGGCACTTCTGGGTGGACCTCCGTCTTTCCAGTTAGCAGTCAAGTGCTTCACTATTTGCACTGCCCGGGAACACCTGCCCCACCTTTGTTGTCATTAGGTGCCATCAAATCAGTTCCACCTTGTAGTGAGCCCGCGTGCAGCAGAACAGAACCCTGCCCCTCCCCACCCTCACCCTTGTTCTTTGGTTTGAGCTCATTGTTGCAGCCGTTGTGCCATCCGGCTTGTCATCGGCCTTCCTCCTTTATGCTGCCCCTCTACCCAATGTGATGCCCTTCTGTAAGCACTGGCTTCTCCCGACAACGTGTCCAAAGTGAACAGGGCAAAGTCCCACCGCCCTTGCTCTAAGGGGCGTTCTGGCTGGCTGCCTCCCAAGACAGAGCTGTGTGTTCTTCTAGCAGCCATGGTGCGTTCAGGAGTCTTCGCCAGCGCCATGATTCAAACGCAGCGATTCTCCTCGGTCTTGCTTATTTTATGTCCCACCTTCGAATGCATGAGGCTATTGAAAATGCCCTGGCTCAGGCCAGGCTTACCCTAGTCACATCTGTAGCCCCTCAGAGGGACGTCTCTCCCCCGGTATCTTGGCAGAGCAGCCTGCTGGTAAAACCCTCTTGAGTGCAGGCCGAGCTCAGCCCTAGTGCCAGCTGCCCTGCAAGCGTGGACTCAGGACACTTGGAGGGTGGGGAGGCCTGGAAGGAGGCATGTCACTCAAGGGAAGGACTCGGTCCCTAACCCTCACCCCCAACCCCAGCAGGCCTGGAATGTATGTTCTCACGTGGTTGGCAGTGAGGGTACCAGCCTTGTGAGGACCCACTGAGCCCCTGCCTGGGGCAGGAAGTGGTGAAGGTGCTGGCCACAGGCCTTGGGGGCCTTGGTGATGGCTGGACTCTAACCCAGCTTGTCTGCCTGTCAAAAGACTCCGAGAAGGTTGGGGCTTTCACGAGGGGAGTTAGAGCTCAGGGATTGAAGTCCACAGGTGAGAGGGCAGGTGAGGGAGGCGCTCAGGCAGCTGGGGAGGAGCTGCAGGGTGCCAAGGCAAGGATTGAGGTTTGCCTCGGTGTCGAGTGCATGACGTAGCTCCTGGGGCAAGGGCCTGGGCCTGGGCCTAGAATTCCAGCAGCCCCTTGTACCTCAGGGGCCTTGGGGCAAGACCACAGAGTAAGCAACCCAGCAATTAGGGGTGGGAGCAGCGAAGGAAAGTTTAGCAATTACAGGAGGATTTGTGGAGAGGTGTGGCGGCTGGATCTGTAATTCAGATTGGGCATAAGGGTCAGGACGGAGGTGTCAGCAGGCCTGCCATGGATGCCGTGGGCACACCTTGCCTGACTCCCCATCCAAGGCCCACCTAGCAGGAGGTGCTTGGTCAGTAATTTCATTTCCCAGGAGGCCTGAGCAAGACAGAATTCATTTTCCAGAAGAGAAAACTGAGATACAGACAAGCGGGAGGGGGGACCTCTGTGGGATCCTGAGCTCTCACCTGTTGCCCTCCCCACTGATACCAGGTCCTGCTGAGGGGCCAGGGCCCCATAGTCAGCCTTCTTCAGAACCAGGGCCCACTGCCCAGGGTACACTGGGGCAACAGTGTCCTGCTGGCCGGCTAATAGGTCCCCAGCCCTCGGCTGCCTACATCGCAAGGCCAGGCAGCATGTATCGGGGCTTCTTCGGTTCCTCTCCAGTGGAGGGGTGTGCTGAGGGCCAGGCTGGCAGGTGCTCATTTAAAATTTCACTGGAGCATGAAATCGCTTCCTTCCTCTACTGGATTATTTCTTAAGCGGAAAATTGTAGGGGGTGGGTTGGGGGAAGGGAGAGGTGCTAAGTGGTTAAAAAATTGGAAAACTGTAATGTTTTAGCCTGGTCACTAGCCAGACAAGGGCAGCATAGGCTTTTTAGCTTGAGAAGGGTGATTCTGCTGGTCTGTGGGCAAAGCCCGGTTTCCACTGCAGGCAGCAAGACCTTTTGCCAAAGGTGCTGGGAAACCCCCACCTTGCAGCCAGGATGTGCATGTGTCTCCTGGGCGAGCAAGGTGCAGCGCTGAGCACCCTCGGCCAGCAGAGCAGACAGGGAGGTGGGGGCTGCTCCGCTTGAGGCTAGTCTAGATTGTCTGGTCTCCACATTTCTGACCATGGTTCCTGGGCCTTTGACTTGGCTTCTTGTTAGGACTTGAGAGTAGGCCAAGGTGCCTGGGGTCCGACCCACTGGCCAGCAGGTCAGCTGGGCCGCGGAGGTGCTCTCCAGACCCCAGGATACAGAGGACTTGAGCACTTGGCCAGGGTAGCTGGTCTTGGCAGGGCCCGTCGGAAGGAGAGGGGCGTGTAAGTCCCTTCTGGGCGTCCAGCTTCTCGGGCCTCAGGAGGCAGAGTCTCCAGGGACAAGTGGAGGGTGAGGACTGGGCATCAGAGCTGACCACTGATTGTGGCCCTGCCTGCAGCACTCTGTCCGGGTGACGCTGAGCCCAGGCGCCTGGGCCACAGCATGGGTGAGCAGCAAGCACACCACTGACACTGCCCTGTGTGCGCTGGCCGTTTGCAGCCCACGAGAGCCTGGCGCAGCGGGGCCTGTCTACAGGGCGGAGGTTTGGTTCCACGGCTAGGCCACACTGATAGGAGCAAGGCGTGTTTCTGAAGGGCTGGGAGCAGCACTGCCCTTTCCACATCGCAGTGCCGCCCTCGGAGGAGGTCGAGGCAGCAGGCCTGCGGTTGGAGAACTGCGGGTGTAGTTGGGTGGAGTGGGGGGTGGGGGGTAGGAGCGGGCAGGGTGCCTGGGGCCGGGGCTCAAGTGAGCTGCCCTGAGGGCACCGGGCTGCCCTGAGAATGGCCGCTCTCACCTCGGACTTTGCTTCCCTCGGCAGCTTGGCTCGCGATGTCGGTCAGTGTCCACGAGACCCGCAAGTCGCGGGGCAGCACGGGCTCCATGAACATCACGCTCTTCCACAAGGCCTCGCACCCCGACTGTGTGCTGGCCCACCTCAACACGCTGCGCAAGCACCGCATGTTCACCGACGTCACCCTCTGGGCCGGCGACCGCGCCTTCCCCTGCCACCGAGCGGTGCTGGCCGCCTCCAGCCGCTACTTCGAGGCCATGTTTAGCCACGGCCTGCGGGAGAGCCGGGACGACACGGTCAACTTCCAGGACAACCTGCACCCCGAGGTGCTGGAGCTGCTGCTGGACTTTGCCTACTCCTCGCGCATCGCCATCAACGAGGAGAACGCCGAGTCGCTGCTGGAGGCCGGCGACATGCTGCAGTTCCACGACGTGCGGGACGCCGCCGCCGAGTTCCTGGAGAAGAACCTGCTGCCCTCCAACTGCCTGGGCATGATGCTGCTGTCGGACGCCCACCAGTGCCGCCGGCTCTACGAGTTCTCCTGGCGCATGTGCCTGGTGCACTTCGAGACCGTGCGGCAGAGCGAGGACTTCAACAGCCTGTCCAAGGACACCCTGCTGGACCTCACGTCCAGCGACGAGCTGGAGGCGGAGGACGAGCGGGTGGTCTTTGAGGCCGTCCTGCAGTGGGTAAGGCACGACCCGGAGCGGCGGAAGGTGCACCTGCCCGAGCTACTGCGCAGCGTGCGGCTGGCCCTGCTGCCGTCCGACTGCCTCAAGGAGGCCCTCCTGGGCGACGACCTCATCCTGGCAGGCGAGCACACCAGGCTCCTCCTGGATGAGGCCCTGGGCTGCAAGGCCAAGATCCTGCAGAACGACGGTGTGGTCACCAGCCCCTGCGCCCGGCCGCGCAAGGCGGGCCACACGCTCCTCATCCTGGGGGGCCAGACCTTCATGTGTGACAAGATCTACCAGGTGGACCACAAGGCCAAGGAGATCATCCCCAAGGCAGACCTGCCCAGCCCTCGCAAGGAGTTCAGCGCCTCCGCCATCGGCTGCAAGGTCTATGTCACGGGTGGCCGGGGCTCGGAGAACGGCGTCTCCAAGGACGTGTGGGTGTATGACACGGTCCACGAGGAGTGGGCCAAGGCGGCGCCCATGCTCATCGCCCGCTTCGGCCACGGCTCGGCCGAGCTGGAAAACTGCCTGTACGTGGTCGGCGGGCACACGTCCCTGGCCGGAGTCTTCCCGGCCTCCCCGTCCGTGTCCCTGAAGCAGGTGGAGAAGTATGACCCTGCGGCCAACAAGTGGACGATGGTGGCACCGCTGCGGGACGGCGTCAGCAACGCCGCCGTGGTGAGTGCCAAGCTGAAGCTCTTCGTGTTTGGAGGCACCAGCATTCACCGGGACATGGTGTCCAAAGTGCAGTGCTACGACCCCGCCGAGAACCGGTGGAGCATCAAGGCCGAGTGCCCACAGCCCTGGCGCTACACGGCCGCGGCCGTCCTGGGCAGCCAGATCTTCATCATGGGGGGTGACACGGAGTTCACGGCCGCCTCAGCTTACCGCTTCGACTGCGAGACCACCCAGTGGACGCGCATCGGGGACATGACCGCCAAGCGCATGTCCTGCCACGCCTTGGCCTCGGGCAACAAGCTTTACGTGGTGGGGGGCTACTTTGGGACCCAGCGGTGTAAGACCTTAGACTGCTACGACCCCACGTCGGACACGTGGAACTGCATCACCACCGTGCCCTACTCGCTCATCCCCACAGCCTTTGTCAGCACCTGGAAGCACCTGCCCGCCTAAGGGCACCTGAAGAGCCAGCCAGGTAAGGCCTTCCAGGGGCTGCCCATGGCAGGACACCTGCTTCCCCGCCCCAGGTAAGCGGTGCATGGTGGCAGCAATGGCAGGTGGCTGGTGTGTGAAGCCAGGTCCTGGTGCTGCCTGCTTACCTGGCAGGGACCTTGGGCACCTTAGGCACCCTGCTGTAAAATGGGGAGAAGCCCCTCAGACCAGCCTGGACTGTTCCCGCAAGTCGCTGCCGACTCCTGGCTACCCTACATGTGTCAGAGAGGAGCTCTACTCCCCCAGCTCTCGACAGCTGAATGTTTTAGCATTTGGATCACCAGGTCTTTCTTCTAAGGTGCTTCTAGACAACTCGAATTGCCAGGCTTTCTATCAGTAGCCGAACACTTCCCCTTCACGTGGTGCAGTGGTCCCAAACTTGGCTGTACATTAGAATCCCCTGGTGGTCCTAAAACCCAGGTGATCCCCGGACCAGTTAAGGCAAGAGGGTGGGGACTACATGCCATTCTGGCTGGAAGCTCCCCTGCACACCTGGTCGGATGGGATGTTGGCTGGGCAGTGACTGACTCTGAAGGTGCCACACTGACAGCATGTGGCCGCCCTGGGAGGAGGTGCTGCCTGCACCCCTTTCTTGGGTGGGACGAGTGGGCACCTGCAGCCCGGGCCGGACTGCAGAGCCACAGCAGATCCATCTGCCTGTGCACCTGCAACCACACATTTGGCTTGTGTTTGCCACCCTGGCCCTGGACTTGGTGTGACCACACACAGGACAGGGAGCCCTACACGGGCAGGTAGGGTGGGTGCCCAGCGACCCTGTGGCCCCTCTGCAGTGAGGAGGGGGCCCCTGTTTCCCAGGAATGGAGAGTGAACCTCCAAGAGGCAGGATGCCGGGGCTACGATTCCAGAACGAGGCCGGCCCTGCCAAGGATGAACCAGGAGCAGAGAGCACACACCACCACCACCCCCTGCTCCCAGGTTTCATTTGGGGAAGACACGCATTAGCGTGTGCTGGAGGGGAGGGACAGGAGGCAGTGGGGGCCCAGCACCGAGGTTTCAGTGTGTCCTCTCCGGAATCTCAGGGGGACTGACGGCTGGGACCAAGCTCTTGCTTACTAGAGGCTCAGGGGGGTTGGGAGAAGGTGGCTTTACAAGCCCAGCCGCATGTGGGACCCTGCCGATGGCTATAGGTGGCTGGGAGGACCCAGCAGCCTTCTAGAGCCTGGCAGGTGGTAAGCGCGCACCTGTTCAGTAGGTTTAAATGGCGGCGGTGGGAAGGAGGGTGGTGTTCGGAAACTCTCGGTGCTAGCTTAGGGGCTTCTAGTTACCGTGTTACCAGAACAGACTTCAGATGCAAGGATGCCTCCTAGTCTCCGGTGGGCCAGTCCCTGGGGAACAGACATCAAGCTGGGTAAGGACCAGTGAGGAGGAGGAGAAGGAAAGCGCTCGGTGAGACCAGCTGACAGTGGCTGCAACCTCACTTGCAGAGGAGAGCTTACAGGCGGCCCGGCGCCGCTCTGGGAAAGGCTGCTGTGGGTCAGAGCCCGTGCGACGTAGATGGAAGTGCTCGCCTCTCTGAAGTGGTACAGAGCCACCAAGCCAAGGCCTTGTAGCCATTCACAGGGCAAGTAAGACCAGAGCCGCAGAGCCAGTCACACGGTCCTTGCTAACATTTGGGGAGACTATCTCCTCCTGAAAGGAATTGAATGAAAACTGAATTGCGCTCTGCCCAGCTGCCTGCTTCTTCTTGGAGCCACTGTGAGACCTTCCTCGGGCAGCTTGGTGGGCACGGGCATCTCCCTGCCGCCCGCGCAGAGCAGGAAGGCGCCTCTGCCGTGGGTGTCGGGCTGCCTGAGCCACAGCGCTTGCAAAGGGAGTATGGAACCAGCCGCCGAGATTCTAGGTGGCCGGACCTGAGTGCCCCCAACTCCTTTGGAAGATTCCTGTGACCTTGACCAGGCCCATTCCATCGCTGTTGCTGCATTCCAGACCAGGTGTTGTGTGCTGTTTGTAAAAAACAAGACAAGAACGTTATCTGACATAACGTTCTATATATTGACCCATTTAAAGTATTTTAGTGAACAGCTTTTAATTATTCACAGGACTGTGCAGCAGTCACCAAGGTCAGTTTTCAGGGAAACCCCAGGGAGCCCTGTCTCTGAGAAGAAACCAGGAGTAACTCTGCGTGTGCGTGGGCTCAGCAATGGCTTGCAGCGCTGACAGCCGATGCACAAGCAGCCGAAGATGAAATTAGATGGAGTTCGCAGAAGGAAAGGCGTTGTCCATCAAAGTGACATGATCCCGATGAGGACAGAGCAGTGTGAGCACTAATGTCTCTGTTTGCTCCCCAGGCTCAGCGAGTTCCTCACACGGCAGCCCTGACTGTGCAGTGGCCTTGACCTTGTCTGCAGAGCAGAAAGCTCAGCCTGGCCCTGGAAAGTGCTTCGAGCTGCAAGCGTCCACCAGCTCTGGGGGCAACGCTGAACTGTTGACCTGAGAAGAGGAGCCAACTCCACCCCCATGAGCCAGCAAGGCCTCTTTGGGTGTGTGGGCTTGCTGGCAGGTGGGCTGACTCCAAGACGCCCTTGTGGAGAAGAAAACCCTTCCTCTGAAAGCCTGTGGATTCCGCTTTGTCAGCACATCCTGCCCTGGGGCCTGCTGGCCACGCCCAGTGCAGGGCGCCCTGGTGGACCGCGCCCCTAGCTCTTGATTGCAGGGCTGCCCTGGTGGGTTGCCATTTCACCCCCATCGGGTGCCCCAGACCATGAGAGCTTGTCTGCCCTCAGAAAGCACGAGTAGATGGTGCCCACAGTAGGTCCACGAGCCCGGGGACAGCCACAGACCTACAGCCTTGGGCTCCCAGCCGGCACTGATCTGGCCATTTGCTCCAAGATTTAAAAAGCGAGGTTGTCCTCAAGGGGATTGCCAGCCCTTTGTTCATTGTTTCACTTGCAGGCTTACTGGGTCCCTTCCCTTGAGCACATCACCAGCATCTGGGTTCCTGGGGAGCCACGTGGGTCCTGCAGGGGCCAGCCTGACACCCCCTGGTAGGGTGCTCATCATTTAGGAGGAAAGGCAGTGACGAGCTCTGGTGCCCAAACTTGCGCCCCTCCAGTCGCTGCCCTGTGGGGAGTGCCTGGAGCTGGGTGAGGATCTGGCCACCCGTGGCACTGCCCCATGTGGGGAATTTCTGGGAGGAGAGTGGCACCTTACAACCCCTTTACTTCCAGAATTTGTTCCCCCACCCACATGATTGCCCCTCCTTTGCACAGGTGCCAGGTCTGTTGACTTCCAAGGAGCCAGACTGGGGAGCGGGGGCCCTGGGCACACAAGGCAAGAGCCAAGGGCAGCTTGGCCTCCAGGAGCACCCATGCACTGACTCCCCGTGTCTAGTCCAGCTTCCTGGTCCTCAGCTTGAACTCAGCCTCCCGGGAGTCACTTGTCCCTCGTCCTGGGAGACTGTCAGGAAGCCCCTGGCTGGCAGGAAGGGGCTGGGTGCCACAGCCCGGCTGGAAGTCCCCGGCCCCTGGAAGCACACTGACACACAGCACAGGGCACCTTGTGATGGTGCTCTCCTGACCTTTGTATTGGTCCGATCAGTTCTGATTTGATTTTAAAAGGCAAACCCACTGTGGTGGAGTCAATCCCAACTCACAGCGACCCTACAGGAGAGACTAGCGGGTAGCAGGGTTGCCCGTGTTCTCCTGAGGAGCGGGTGCTGGTGGCACACCACTGCCCTTCCAGGAGTCGGCCAGCACCTGACCCTGTGTGCCACAAGGACCCCCCATGGAATAAAGGAAGGTTAAGAAAAGCACTTGCCTCCTTTGGAGTACTTGGACTAGTTGGGGAAGTGGGCTTGTTTCTCCCCCACCAGCCTACCCACTCACACCATCTCACCAACCAGCCAGCTTAAAGCTCCCGCCTCGAATCCATTGGTGCTACAAATAGCTGCAGAAACACTTGAATTGACACGTTTGTAGAGCCCTGTACGCCTCCCTTTCCCAACAGTTCTTCTGTTGAAACCCTTTGCGCTGTTAGACCGTGCAGTCCACTCACGCCAGGGCTGTGCGTATCTGAAAGCGCCCGTGGGCCCTCGTCTGTGAGCCCACGGCGTCAGGGGCCGGCCGGTGGCTGCCTGCCACACTGGTTCTCAGGGACAGCCGATCCAGCGGGTTTTCCTTTTTTCAAGCTCTTGAACTTCCCCCTGACTGAGGGGTTTACTCTTTTATACCACAGGACCCTGGCCATGATGTTGTACTGTGTACACTCTGTATATGCCGAGTTTTTTCAGCACATTTGTAATGCAGTCTTTGTGGTAAAATTAGGTGCCTCCGCTGATACTTGAGTATATATGGTACTTTCCTCAGCACACTGCCCAGGGAGAGTGGGCAGCTATGCACTGAGTGAGTGGTCTCACCCTAAGAGAACCCCCTTCAACACCCGGGAGCCTGAGGAGATTATTCGAGCAATACTGGTGGGGTGGTGGTGGGATCTCACTACAAGGCCACATGTCATCAATAGAAAGTACCCCACGAGCCAGGCTGACTCAGTGGAGCAGTCTGGTGTACATGGGACCTTGGATTTGGGGCAGTCTCGTCACTTCTGGACCTCAGTTCCCTCATTGCAAATACGGCCTTCCTGTCGGCAGGCTGAGCAGAAGGCACTGGGATTCAGTTTCCTAGGACTCTCAAACTCCGGCGCCCAGTAGTGGAACTGGGCTCTGAAGTCAGGGACTGGAGGTGCATGGTGGCATCGTGGGTTGGCGTTGCTCTGCTAACTGCAGGGTCAGCACTGAGAGCCCCCCAGACCCTCGCAGGGGAAGAGGACGCTTTCACTCCTATGGGAATCTCACGGGACGGTGCTGCGCTGTTCTCCTACAGCAGCGCTTCTCAACCTGTGGGTCGAGACCCTTTGAGAGTCGAACGACCCTTTCACAGGGGTTGCCTGATTCATAACAGTAGCAAAAGTACAGGTATGAAGTAGCAACGAAAATAATTTTATGCCCCCGCTATCATGATCCGAATTCTACCTTGCAAGTCTGGTTACACCAGAGGGTGTACACTGGTACAGATAGGAACTGAAAATACAGGGAATCCAGGGCGGATGATCCTTCAGGACCAGTGGTGTGAGTGGTGATACTGGGAGGGTAGAGGGAGAGTGGGTTGGAAGGGGGGAACCGATTACAAGGATCTACATGT